GATAAACACAGGAAGGCACAGTGGCGGCTGGTGGTGCCAGATGTACCAGAGATCAAGAGGCAGATAATGAGGGAACTACACGAAGTCCCTTATTCGGGTCATCTGGGCTACCACAAAACGTTGAAAAATATACAAAAGACATTCTACTGGCCTGAGCACACCTTGGACATCAGAGATTTTGTGATGGGGTGCCCAGTCTGCCAGCAAGAGAAAGCCGTCCACCGTGTCCCTGCTGGACTACTGCAGCCGCTTAAGCTCCCAGAACAAAAGTGGGCAGACGTCAGTATGGACTACATCATGGGGTTGCCTAAATCAGAGGCAGGGAATGATGGAATCCTCACCATCGTAGATCGGGCCACCAAAATGGTGCACCTGGCACCGGTCAAGCAGACCATCACGGCTGCTGAGACCGCCCGACTCTACTGGAACACAGTGGGAAAGTTACATGGGATTCCACGTTCCATTGTGAGTGACAGAGACCCCCATTTTGTATCCAAATTCTGGCAAGAATTATGGAGCATTCTGGGAAGCTCACTGTGGATGTCCAGCGCCTACCACCCTCAGACAGATGGTCAAACAGAGGCGATGAACAGGGTGGTGGAGATGGTGTTGCGCTGCACCCTGCATGCCGGGCAGGAGGGATCGAGCTGGGAACGACTGTTGTCCACCGTTGAATTCGTCATCAACAACAGTCCAACACAAGCAACCGGGTACACGCCGTTCTATTTGAATTACGGGTACCATCCGTGTACACCGGCGGACCTCATCCGTGACAGTAACTCCACTCTGATTGAGGGAGTTAACCAGTTTGTTGAGCGGATGAAGAGGAATTTCTCGACGGCTGTCAAATTCTTGAACAGGGCTCAAGATCGTATGAAGACGCAGGCCGACCAGAAGAGAAGGGAACAAAGGTTCAGTAGTGGGGATCAGGTGCTGCTCTCGACAGAGCATTTGAACGTGAAGAACGCACCAATCCGCAAGATGAAAAAAAGGTTCGTTGGGCCATTCTTTATTGTCCGTCCGGTGGGACAAGTGGCCTACAAGCTTGAACTCCCCAAAACGTAGAAGATTCACAATGTTTTCCACGTCAGCTTGCTGCGTCCTTTCAGAACCAGTTCATGGACGCAACCCACTACGTCTGGTCAGGTAGAGGAGTTGGAGCCCGAGGATGACAAGCCGTATGACATCGAGAAATTGTTGCGTTGGCGGTGGGCCGGTCCCAGTACCAGGAGGCACAAGGAGTATTTGGTCCTCTGGAAGGACTATTCGATTGATGACGCCTCTTGGACTCCAGAGGACAACTTTACCTACCCAGAAGAATTGAAGAAAATGATCAAGAGAGACAAACCAGTAGAGGATAATTAGGTCCACTGGTTAGCCTGAGGTTTCGAGGGCGAAACTACCCCCAGGGGGGAGTACTGTGGTGTAAAGCACAGGGGGTAGTATGTTTCTCTAGTAATTGGGTTACTGGGAGGTTAAAGTACAATGAACAATGCGGTTGAATATCTCATATAAAAGTAGAGTCCATTAGGAGCTCATAGGTTCTTGAACCACCTCCATTGGGTTAGCGGTAGAGGAGTTATGGTTAGATATATTACCAGTACTTTAGACTCCATCGCCGGAACCGTATTGGGGGATGAGATACAATCGCATGGACCCGTACGCTGCATTGTCACGTGATCCGGGCGGAGACCACCCCATCAAAGGGGCGACCTCCTGTCAGACTGTAATTCTCCATTCTCTCGCCCACTCCGCGCACCCCGCGGCTGCACCCGCGAGCCGCACGGCGCCGCGCATCCACAGCGCGCCCAGCCGCCCCGCGCCCGGCCATCCGCAGGCCTGGGCCCACACTGCGCACCCCGAAGGAGCGAGCGCCCCGGACAGCCCGCCGGTCATCCGGCGGAGGAGGCCCATCCGGGCCGAATTGGGCGCCGCGGCGGGAGCCTCGCCCGCAACGACCGAAAACCACGCCAGGAGCATTGAGCAGGGGACTGCAGCAGTTTGTGTGGCACGACTTGCTCCCCAGTTGGCAACTGGATCCGCATTCTGGTGGTTCCGGATATCACAAATCTACAGTGGCATGGTCCTATGGCAGATTGGTTCCCTGCAAATCGCCGTCGTTCTGTGCATCAGAAAGAACTGCATAGCTGGCGATGCCAAATGCGATGCAATTTCGCCATTGATCGATGCCATCGTGGTTATTCTGGTGGCATCGAAATCGCTGTGATGGCATCATTGAATGTCGAAATGGCATCACAATTGGCACAGCTATTGTAATAAGAACTGATTGATCAATATCTATAGCTGGACGCATTAAGAGCTGGTGATACATTATGAACTGAATTAAGGACACTGATGCACGGACTGGATATATGGAACAGAATTCCTGTGGTCCCTTTGCTCCACTATAAGCCATTGCCATGTGCTCGAGCCCATGGTCCCCAGTCAGGGGTCGCCACCTCTCGACCCTGCCTGCCTTCCTCACCGCCAAATAGCTCTTCTGCTAGTGATGGACATCTAGAGGAGCCTTTGTCTCCCCTCTGTCATTGCAAGCGAGGGCAGGCCCTGCTTTTGCCATTGGGTAGGGCAGCCTCCAAAGGGGCGATGGCCGATCAGAGTGTCACGAAGCCATGGGGTGGGGCGGAAGCTGCTGGAGCTTCTAGGTTAGGCAAGTTGGGTTGTGGGCATGTCAGCAGTGGTTGCACATAAAACGTGCATGAGATAATCGGCGTCAGAAGATGCACTCTTTTGATGCGGAAATTTCTCGAGTGATTGCTGAGCGAACTACGCATTCAGACGCAAGGTACTGCACGCATGTACATGAATGGGATGTTTCAGAATCCATGCCGGATTTCAGGTGCAGAGGTGGCGGATTGTTTGCAGGGGAGGGTGACCGGGTGAATTTCGAAGACCGGCCCTGGCACGCAGCAAAGATGGGTGCATGAAGCAAGTAGTATATTCAACCCTTCCGCATCAAAACATTTTACTGTTACGCTTGTTGCTCCGCATCTTTTCAGAGTGTTATTTATTTTCTTGTTGTCTCCGCATCAAAGACCAAGCGTTACGTTGCTATGCGGGTTGAATATACGGCACTGTGGCACTCCACGCTCCAGGATTTCCAAACGGGTCCCAAAGAACGGCTGCGCACTCTCATGTAAAGCCAATCATTGACTAGAACTCGTTGATTAAAAAGACTGTGACGTCTTTGCCCTATTAGATGGTGTTGGAACAGGTGCCTGTGGACTGCTACCTTGAATTAGTCATCACCTACAGCTGTGGGCTATTCTGGGCGAGCTGACTTTGCCACCACAGGCCCTCCCCGCTTGTCCCAGCCCGTGTTGCGCTTCCACCAGCATTAGGGCAAGAATCGTCAACATGCCCCGGATGCAGCAACAGGAACTCAGTGCAAGGGCGCCGGTTGCCTTGTCTTTTCACTTTCAAGGGTTACAGAGACAGCACTTGAGTGTTTTATTTAACTCCCTTCATGCTTTAGGCAGGGAATAGTTTCAATAAATCCAACATAGTTATGTGCATCTAATAGTGACCAGATTCAGAGTTCTGAATAATTTTCAGTTCATGCAGGTACAGGTTGGACAACGCAAGGCAAACGCTTGCGTTACCGCTGCATGTCAAGGAAATGCGTTTCTTGCCAACCTATCGGTCGAAGGCGAACAGGAACAAGAGGGCAAAATCTGTGAACGCGAGTTAGAACGAATTGCAGTTCCAGCTCACCATCCAGCAGATTCTTAGGATACACCCTTGTGGGGATTCCTTTCAAAGGGAAGAATTACAGCAGTTTCCAAAAGTGCACCCAACAGGGCCATAGAAAGGAAGCAAAAACCTTCAGATCCCAAGCTGGCACTGGTTGCTGGAAACTCCCAACAGCCAGGTGTGCAGGGTCCAAATATTTCCCACATAATGTCTGAATAAATCAAACTATCAAACACAAAATGCTGCATTATATATGTGTATGTATATATTATTTATATTTATATTCATATGTATATATATATATATATATATATTTATTTATTTTTCATGCAATGCTCAGCTGCAATCTGGAATGCCTCACAGTTCTGTGTTGATCCACCAGCTGATGAGACAACCATCGAAAACAAGAAAAGAGCGCCAGGGCTGTGCTGCGTTGCCCACAGCTTTCTCAACGCTGCTGCAAAGCCTGCATCTGGGCACAGCAACGAAAGTGCAACGTTTGCAAACCACGCTTCTGCAGTGCATTTTTCTCTTTCGTAGTACAGCAAACACCCAATTGTGCATCCAAAGACTGTGCCTCAGCTGAGCACTTTATGCAGTTCAGCTGACTGCAGTTCAATCAGCCAGCTGAAACAGATCATAGGAACACAACATACAAGCGATGCAAAATTTAAGCGAATTGAGAGAAAGGGTACATGAGGTCCATTGCAATGGGCCGAACTTGAACATTTGAACATGAATGTCAGTGCGCTCAGTGCTTTTTCCCACTTGAGCCCATATGTTAACGACAGCACCTCATAAAAACGCATAAGGGAAAATCAACTAAGGTTAGTTATAATTAGTTTAATTAGTTTTTAGTTTAGTTTTTTCATCTGTGGCTTTAGTTTTATCTGTTATTAACTGTAATAACATGTTGACCCTTATGTGATCCTGCACAGGGAGATTTGCCCCAAGCAGCCACGAACGCAATCCTTCCCATGTAGGGCAGTTTTCAATTTTTGCACAATTCGATGAGCCAAGATTTCTGGCTCAGGACTTGACAGCCATTTCAACAAGAGGGGAACTTTCTGGAAACGGAGCATCAGTACAACTCAGTCATGTCTATCCATGTCAGGGCCCAGTCCATCACTTCACCACCCCCTGCCCCCCTGTTCTAAGATCAATACAGTGGGCGCATCTGGCCCCAGCTCTGCCTGTGCACGCAGCGCACATGTTCAGCTGGGCCCCTTGCGACCTCCAGGGAAGGTGCCCCCACATCCGCACCACCAAGGATCTGGCATGGCATTATGTCAAGACCCCTCAGCACTCCCTGCCCCCCCTTGTGCCACCTGTGTGCACCCTTCTTTGCTGCCCATCACCTTGGCGACACTCTTCTCTTTTGCTGCGCCCCTAACTTTTCCTTCCTTGCCCCCACTCTCCTTGACAGCAACACGTTCATGCCCTGATACCTTGACACCCTCTGCCTTATCCCCAGCGCCCGTCGAACACCCCTCTACCGAATGGTCACAACACTGTCCTGATGCTCCGCCTGTCACCACAGCACCATCTTCCCCATCATTTTCGTCTGCCCCTCCCTCTCCATGCGCCATTGGCACTTCATCTTCTGTGTCCGCAGCATCTTTTGAATGGACCTCTGGCACAGAGCAGCCCTCTCCTAATTCTTCCATATCACTTTCCGGAGCAGGCACGGCCTTGGCATGCCCTTCTGCCACCTCGGCCGCCTCCGCTGCCTCCCACGCATCTTGAGCAGCCCTCAGGTCATCCCCATTGATGAACCCCGACAGCGACAGCTCCAGAACCTTTCTCGTGCGCCGTACTGGCCAGTCTATTGGCCCCACCTTCAGCACGGATATGATCTCCTCAAAGTCGTCTATGTCCACCAGCTCCTCACAGCAGTTGGCCATGACAGATATTGCTGTGCGCAGCAGACAATCGTCATTGCCCTCCAACAGCATGATGTCCATCACGCGGGCAGAGAAAGCCGGCGGGAAGGGGCAGGAGAAGACCGTGAGCAGCCACTGGGAGCAGTACATCAGTGCTGGCACGCCGTGGGCCTCCAAATGGGCGTGCAGGCCAGATAGGTGTCGCTGCAGCAGCCACTCAAACTTCCAGATCTCGCACTGCAGAGACTGCAGGCCAGGAAGGTAGTACCGCCTCAAGTTCGGCCCATCCTGCTGCATCAGCCGGCAGAACAGTCGGAAGGCAGGCTCTTCTGGAAGGTACAGCAGGATCACCCCCGCCACAAAGGCCATCCCCTGGCAGTATCCAACCTCCAGGTCGTGGATGGAGTACGCCTTGAGCGCTCGGAACAGGGACATCTGCCCGTGGGAGGCGGCGAACTGGGGGTGCTCGGGGAAGGTCCGGTGGATGTCCCTGTATATGATCTCGTCCACCTCGTCCTGCCCCACCGTGATCTGCAGCAACGTGCTGTACCGGCTGTCAGGCGCATAGTCCCCCGGCAGCGGCCAGGGCACCAGCAGCATCGCCGCGAACACCTCCTGCATCGCCCGCCGATGCCCATCGTCCAGCTGGCCCGCACCTGCGGGCGAGCACGGTGACGCCCGGCCCCCAGAGCCCCCCAGCCGATGCGTGCGGCTCTCGACCACCTCCCATCCCTCTGACCCCGCCTCGCTCCCTGCACCCCTGCCGCCGGGCCTCGGAATCTCCCGCGAAGACCGCCGGGGAATGCTGCCCCCCCCGCTGCCACCGCTGAGCCTCGTCTGTAGCAGCTGCTGCGGCGGCATGCCCTCCCCAGGGCCAGGAATCGCGCACATCTGAATCTCCTCCACAATTTCCACATCATTCTCCTCCTCGGGCTCTCTTCGCCCCCTGGCTGGATCATCCTCCCCCGTATGACCGCTCACATCCTCCCATCTCACCCTCTCCCCTGCTCCTTCTCCATGCATCTCCCTGAGTGCCTCAATCAGCTCCCCCCTCTCCAGCACGACCATCCACAGCCGGCCCCTCAGGTCCTGCGGCGCGTCCTCGTACACCTGCCTCCCTATCTGTACGTCCACGGGCGTGTTCCTCTCAGCCTCTAGCATCGCCGCCAGCCTCTGAGCATGCAACCTGGCCTGAACCCTGTCCAAGGCCGCCTGCAGGTGCCTGGGCGCCTCCGATATACCCCACTGCATCGCTCCCCTCCCCTTCTGAATCTGCTTGTTGATCAAATCGGCCCCTTTCCCCAGCCCCTTGGACGCCTCCTTGATTATAAAGGATGCCCCCTGGCGCCTCAAATCTTTGTCTGACAGCAGTTCCCCCGCCGAGGCTGCCGTTCGCGATATCGACTCGCTCACCCCACCGGTCGCCCTCTCGATCGCCGCTGCGGCCGCCGTGATCTTCTTCCCGAGCGCCAGCAGCGTGCCGCTGAGGTTGCGGCTGGGGGGACGGCCCTCATCACGGCGGTCGTCCGGCGACGGATCGTCGCCCCCACCCTCCGCCATCGCCATCCTCTCGCCGGTCAGGGGCCCCGGAGCAACGGCCAAGGATCGAGAAACGAGATTGGGCCTCGAGTGGAGGATCGAGATTCAGACGGTGGGCTTGATCGCGAGGATGGCTGGAGGGGTGGTGGGGCGGGCGGCCCCCTGCCGGGGGTGCAGGCCTCAGGGGGACGGGTCGAGGGCTGGAGCGGCCATCTTGCGGCGCCTTTTTGTACTGTGGGCGGCATTGAAAGAACAAATGACGGCTACCTCATTGCCTTGTGTGGGGAGTGGGGCTGTACGTATGATAGGGGAGCCAGTTAAGGGGAATTGGCTGTAGTGAATGAACGGGGACGGCTTTGGGATTGGATCATAGTTGGGGATGGCGGCGGGAATAGGAGCTGAGGAAGTGTGGGAGTGAGGGAGAGTGGGAGTGGGTAGTGTACGCGGGTAGCTGCTGGGCTAGTTGGCAATGAATCATAGTTGGTATGGGCGGCGGGAATAGAAACTTGGCATGAGAAAGGGACACGAACCCGGCCAGCTCGTGAAAGTGGCCAGAGTGAGGATTCTGGATACAGCAACTCTTGAACCGTCACATCATCAAGCTATAAATAACACTCACTCCATCTGTAAGAACGGGTTCGGTTCGTGTGCGACAGAGTTGTCCTTCCTCGCATGTCCGATTGTGAATGCCTCCCGTACCCCCTGGGTCGCCGCAGCCCAAAGGCTCAGTGCCAATTTGAGCCGCCCGTTCGCGACACTTGTTCTGTAAAAAATGATGATGATGATGATGATGATGATGATGATGATGATGATGATGATGAAAGAACAAATGAACAGTTAACAATGTACAATTGGATGAGCAGTGAACAATGAACGTCGACAGCGGCAGGCACGGTCGAGGGTTAGCGGGCCCTGACTGGGCCCCGTAGGCTCGAGCGCACAGCAACGGTTCACAACAGTTTACAGAGGAGCAAAGGGACAACAGGAATTATGTCCTTCATACCCTGTCCTTTCATCAGGGACCCCAATTGGGTTCTTGTTGCCTCCTCACCGCTCCAAGTGTCCAATTGTTAACAATACCCATTCAGTTCTGGCTACAAGGACATCTTGATGACGCCCTTTCGATTCAATGATATATGGACACTGGCCGTCCCTTCTACAACTGAATCCTTCCCATTTTGGCTCTCTCGCTCGCAATGCCATGGAGGGGCCCATCCCCCGTGGGAGGGGGCACTCCTTTTGCATCCGTTTGATTGCGATGGGCGTATTTTGGCCGCATTAGGGGACAGCCTACATCTTTGCAGTCACAGATGGATACGATACGTATATTGTAGCCATATCTTTATGGCTACGATATGCATATCTTGTTGTTTGCTTTACTAAACGCCATGTGTCAGAGGCCTCCAATAAATGGGCTGTAGTAAAATGAGCAGAATAATATGCCAACCACCTGTTTTATTTCTTTTGGGGGTGTGGACGGCCAATTGACATTCTTGGAACCAGGCGTGGTATTTACAGTGTGAGCATTTTGACATTAACGCATTAAACGGTTTTTACTTTTTTATTCGTGAATAGCAATAAAAAATATGTAAAAGTTGGCCCCGTGTACTTAAAAGTAGTCCATATAGACTCAAGGGGTCCGGGAAGTGGCAGGTAGACCCGTTGAAGTATGTGTGAAACGATCTCCTGCTTGGCGACATCGTTGCCCTTATTGAGGGAGAGCTGTGCGCTATGATGTTGGTGCTTGAGAGACCGGAGGATTGATCGTTGATTTCGACGTCACGATATAGCTTGGGCGTGTCGGCGAGCCGTAAATATGCAGAAAATAACCCTGAAAATGGTCGTTTATCTATTTACGCATTTTTATGCGTAAAAACGTAAACATAGAAATGAAGCCATAAATGGAATCAACTATCTTGTTAATATGGTTCCACCAAGGACGACGTTGGGTGGGCTGCGCCGATGATTCAAATCGGTAGCAGTTGAATTCAAACGGGTTTATGGCCCCTCTAGTACCTTGGGTCAGTTAAAGTACGTATTTTCCAAGGTGCCGTCAGTTTGGCGCCCTTGGACTTTGGCGGGCTTTGGTGGGGCTGAGCGGGGGCAGCTACTTAGACTTCCCCCTCTGTTCCCCTCCTATCTTGTTTCCCACCCGGCCCTCCCGCCCTAGAAAATGTATTTCGGTTGAGTTGTGGGAGATGGAGGGCAGGCGTGGAAGGAAGTACTGGATTAGGTTGCTGACTCAGGGCTGAGTCGCGGGAGGAAAGTGGCGTGAAGTATGTGCGAAGCGAAAGGGCAAACTGTTAAGTTGGGGCCTTCGGGTATTTGGAGTTCATGGTGACGGACACCATTTTTGTAAATGCCTTGTTGTGTGGGGAACATGACTGGGTGGGTTCAGGAGATCGGTCGGGTAGAAACGTAAATAAAAGCCTACTTGCAACCGCATGGTAGCCCTGCTGTAGGCCTCCGATGCATTGCTTCAAATAATATGGATAGCAGTATATGATGGGCAACGAAGTTTCTTTATTTATGTTTTCGTGAGAGTGGGGCGGCCTACTTGCAAATCGAGCAGAGTAGAAAAGATGTTTTGAGTGTGAGGGCTATGCTTCTGCCGTTGCAGCATCGATTCAGTTGCGATTGATAGTAATTAGGTAAGCCGTCACTGCGCTTGTTGCGCCTCATTGCATACACCCTGTCGTTGCTCCTAGGCATGGCTTTTACATTTACGCTTACGTGTTTTACTTTTACGTTTTTACACGTAAAATTGTAATTTGCAAAAGGGCCTACTTTTACGTTTTCATGGGTTCCTGGGACACCCAGGCTACACGATGAAAGTTGCGTATAGTGATCAGTATTCCGCCATTTCCAGCACCCGCAACACAATGTCCACCTCGCCTTTGGCAAGGGCGATAATGGCGTTTACCAAGAACTCGTTTTCTGCCCATTCCGGGCCGTCTGACTGCCACACCTCGGACTCGTAAGTCTGTATGTACTGTCCTTATGTACACTGGGTAGTTTTTACGTTAAATTTACGTATTTTTATGCATTCTTATGTATGAAAGTGTAAAAGCTATTTTCACGCATAAAAACGTAAACACGATCAGTTTTGATGGTGTAAAAGCCAAGCCTGGTGGCGCAAAGCATATTGAAATCTGTCCAGCTACTATAAATTAATATTTCTATGGGCATGAAGCACTGCTTTGCACCACCGCGCCCCTTCAGAGAATTCCCAACGCAATGGAAAGGTGGGAAAATACATGCAAAGAATTGATGACCTATCGATGTATCTACATCTATCGATGACCCAGTGATCCATCGCTACGTGGCCTCCCAAAAGGCTGTTTTGGCAGAACGGCCCATGGAGTTTCCTTCGCGCCTCATGGGCACCTTCACATGAGCTGTAGAGGTGGCCACTCAAAGGTGCCATCCGGTCCGTTAAATCCGGTTCGTTAATTTTTATCAGCTGTCCGTTAAATTTCGTTAAAGAAAAAGGGAGAAAAATTCAGAAAAAACGAAAAAAATCCAAAAAAATCAAAAAAACCCCAAAAAATCACAACAACTGCGGCTAGTTGAAAATCTAGTATGCATAGGTTGAAATCAAATATAAACATACTCTCTAATAGCGAATTCCATAAACTATAAGTATGACTAAAACCCAAAAATCCCCAAAAAATCCAAAAATCCGCTAAATTTTGGTTAATTTTTGTCTTTTTTGGTTATTTTCCGTTAATTAACGGAAAATTAACGGAAATTAACCTCTGTCCGCTATTAACGGATCCGGGTGGCCACCTCTAATGAGCTGTTCACGAGTTCAACACAAGATATAGAGCTCAAGTTAGCCAGTTCATGCGTTTTCAAAATTCATCTAATTTGACTACCTAAAATTCGGATAAGATGGTCGCTTAGGAGCTGAATCGAGCAACTGATTAGTCTGCGTTTGACATGGAATTGTGTGACAAGGCCATTGTTGTTTGGGGCGATTGGTCGAGTGAGAACCCATGAGTTTTGATAATTATTTGGAATGCTGGCAAGCATGACATTAAAATTTTATCTCGGGAAAATGATTCTGGGGATAGTGCTTTACATGCTTGAGCCATTTTTACTGAAAGGGTATTTTCATGGGACCATATGCATTGTTGTGCGGTGATGTTTGTGATTCAAGCTGACCGGGAGTGTCAAGGGGTGCCCTTGAAGTCCCCGTGCAGCGGTGCTCTAGTGCGCCCTTGGGTGCCACGAGCACCCCGTCCCAGTGTGCCAAACAAATGTTCGATTAATATTCTTAACACTTTTATTGTCTATTTGTAATTACTGTATAATTAAATATAACATAATTTGATCTAAATTGGTTATTAGTGCCGTTGGGGCGACCAGCGCTAGGCCACTAAGCTTGCCGTGAAGTGGCAATATTATCTACATAAACAGAGCACAATAGCAACCATTGGGGTGCAACATGCAATCAGGAATGGGTATTGTTTGTCCAAACAGTCCCGATTAGTAGGCTCAGATATGGCATCTGCCATTGCAAGTAAAGGCGAAGGAAAATTAGGAATCTTGGTTTTCACAACTTTAGGTTGTGGCACATTAAGAAAGCGAGCTGGACACTGAGTTCAAGTCAGACCATCGGAAATGATCCGTTTTGTTATTTTGACTACTCGTGAATGATTGCCGTTATGAATGTTCCTTCAAAAGTCCCAAATTTCCATTGGGCTAGCAAAATTCAAGGTACGCTTCCTCTCCGTGCGGCACCAGCAGCATTGCGCATGACTGCGATGACTGCCTTTCTGAAAGTGTGTTGCAGATCTGAAGGCCCCATCAGCCTTTTCTAGCCGCACAATATAGTTCATATATGTACATATAGTATATATATGCACATATAGTTCATATATGCACATATAGTTCATATATGCACATATAGTTCATATATGCACATATGGTACATACATGTACATGGAGGGCATATATGCGGTATGACCCTGCTTTCACTGGTTGGACTCGTTGACCGACTAAGCTTGAAGGGTTCGCAGCTG